AATCAACAACATTATAAATTGTAAAACACAAATACACTAAACATTTAAGTTGGATGATTGTAGTTTTAAAATATGTCTAAAAAAAAACTCCCCTTTCAAATTAAAAAAATCCCCCCCCATAAGAGCCACCTAAAGGGGGAATTCCTCCCCATTTTCCAAAACGAAATTCAGACCCTGCTTTCTCCATACCATCTCTTTCTCTAAGACCATCTCTGGTTTGTCATTTTAGAATTTTGCTTGGGAAATCTTCTTTTGTTAGTCTCTGAGATATTTTTTAATTAAATGGTGCCAGTATGGCTCAAAATTGTCGCATTCATTTATGTGAGTGATGTGTGTTTTCTCTCAGGATGAGGAGAATAAGATCTGTCCAGAGAAACTGGAGGAAGCCAAACTGAAGTCCAAATACCCTCACTTGGGTAATAAGCCTGGAGGATCCGATCTGCTCAGAAAAAGACTGCAGAAGGGGGTGAGATTCATTCAATGCTCTCTTTCTGCCCACATTGGTAGGGTCAATAACTGTGTTATAAGAGGAGATCCAGATCACAGGGCTTTGGTGGTTTTACACAGGCAGTAGAACATCACAGCATCATGTGACTGAGTCATGAGCCACAGATGGCATGTGCACTGCAAGATGTGTTACAGAGACAAGTTCTGGTCAGTTTGAGAACATTAACCTCGGTCGTGGATGTACATTAATGGTCAAAAGTTTGGAAGTTGTTTTGGAAAGAAGTCTTTTATGCTCACCAAGGCTGTGGATACTTCAGTCTTTCGTGTTCAAATGATCCTTCAGAAATGATTGTAATATGCTGATTTGGTGCTCAATTTTGTTCATTAATTATTTGTGCTTCCTTATTATTAATGGCTCTTATCAATGTTGAAAACAGTTTTTGCTCCTTAAAGGCACTATATTTGGCGACACCGGTGGCTGTTAAGTGAACTGCAGACAGTAACTTATTTGCTCATGCACACATAATGCACAAGAGACTGAACGGAATTCGGTGCCCCGATATACTCGCGGAAACGTTTTTCCCGTTCTTTGCTTAGAAGTAAAAAGAAGTTGAAAATAGCTTTGCACC